GTGCTTGCTACTCGTTTGCATGGGACCTCTCGGGTATTCGATAGCATTTTCGATTGAGGCTGTCGATTTCCGGTGAGAGAGCGGCGATTGTAGGTGTGAGGATTGCGGCCGCATGTGTCAGTTGCGATCTGTCGACGGCGAGGTGCCGCAGGGAGGAGAGCGGTAGTTTTAAGTCGCTTGAGTAGTTCGTTTTTTTTTTTTTTTTTTTTTTTTTTTTCCCCTTAGTTTCCTCTTCTTTTGTTTTGGAGGTTTGACGACCTGCATTGCGAGAGGGGAGATTGCGGGTAGTTGGGGACTGAAACCCTAGGGTGCGTGGCAGTGGAAATTGACGTGGTTGCGGCACTAGTGATTGGTCAGACGTCGGTGGTTAATGACGATTATGGTGTGACAGAGAGGGGTGGAGGAAATTAGGCGAAGGGCTGGGAGAGAACCAGTGTCGTGGACGTAGTTGTGAGGATGGTGGGCTCTACCAACAGATACCATCGCCAAGGCCCGGTGGCGGCTCACCAGGTGGACTTGACGCACATGAAGGAGAGGAAGGGAAGGGCATTAGATGGAGGTGTTGCTGTTAATGCCGGCGGTCCTGCTGCTGTAGGTCTGAATGAGCCTCTCGGCGGCTTTATCTTCATGTGCAACAACGAAACCATGCCCGAGGACTTGGAGCGTCAGTTGTTCGGTACATTCTCTTCCTTCCCTTTCAGTTCGTCTACGTTCATAATTGTGTTGTAGTGATTTATGTTCACTCTTTATTCGACTGTTGATTTTCCTTCGATTGATGTGTTGAGGTTTTCCTTGGGCGCGTACTTTCTACGTGGCGTTAGGTTTTCAGGCTATCCGTAAGGGTTCGATTGCTGGGATGACGATAGCCATACTTCATATCCACGCAGGTCTTTCTTACGTCTTGTATTGGAATCTCACACTTGAGCGTGTCGGACCGTATCACTTAATCACACGAGCATCACTTTCAATTTTGTTGTTTATATCGCGGAAGAGTGCTACCTTATTGCTTTCATATTTTTCTGATCACTGCCTTGTTACTGCGTTATTGACCCATTGTATCTCTTCATTCGTGTCCAGGTAGTAAGCGTCGGTCGCAGCGGTAATGTCCATTATTCATAAAGTAATGGAGTGTATAGTATTCTTGAGCAGTCTGCATCTGTCGTCCGCCTCTCCTTGATTTAGGAGTTTGAAAACGAAATCTGGGCATCTTCCTGAATTTGGTAGTTCGAGAAACTGTTTAAGAACGTCCCATCGTCGAATTTGTCAGCGTTGATTGTGGTGTTGTCGAAGAGTTTGAGGAACTATTTCATGTATTGACATGACGAAAGACATCGCACATGGTTGTGTAGAGCCGTTACATAGAGTCCAGAGTATCGGTTTTGCTATTGAATACCCTGTTATTAACGTGATGATCTCACTTAATGCAGTCACTACCACGTTATCCATACCCGTTAAGTGTGGGGATTGGTATAGGGAGAAGGGTCTGTTTGAAGTTGCGGTGCGCGATATACACGTTGTAAATATTCTGAAGTACCTCGATAAGTGCTACCGGAAGTCGTAATCACTGGCGCGTTTATTCATATCAGAGACTCAGACATAGTGCCGCTATCATATTTCATTCTCATCTGGAATTTACGACCACAAATATCTCCTGAAGATTTTACGTCTTCACGTTTTGTGGTATGATGTGGAATCTGAACGATGCTTTCGGTGTAGGTGAAGAAATTTGCAGCTTATGAATGGATTATGTGTTAAAAATTTGGGCGGTGTTTAGACTACATGGATGGAATACCGTGATCACTGCATGAGATTTGATGTTGTGATTCTCCTTTGTGTCACGAAGAAAGCTCTCATTGCAAGCTGCAATCTTCTTTGTGCTCTGGGCACTGGGAGTCACCATAATTTCAGGATCCGGTCACGTATGTGTCGGAGTTTCATGCAGGGTAAATGTCCAGCTGTTGGAGTATTCCCACTCAGTTTAGATATTGAGATTATTTAAGGTAGCCAAGTGAGAGACTCGTAACATTGGAATGGAAGGATGAAAAATAACGTCCTTCACTTGGGACAAAATGTAGTCCGATTCAGATGAGAATCTACAAAGAAAAGAATTATTTCACGTGGATTAGGTTTGTCTCTGATACAAGGTCTGCTCAATCACCTTTGTCCTGAATAATTTGCAGAACCTAGTATCTCATGGTTGGTGAGGGAATCGCTGCGTTTACAAGGTAGGTGCCCCTACCAAGAGCGTGCCCAACCAGTAGGCAGGTCGCACTTTGTTGAGAACCGTAGAGATGTCTCAACATTTTTGTGCATTTTGCATTGTTTCAAGTAGGGATGCTTCTGGTCTAAGGTCCTACCACTGCAATCGTTTACCGTGCATCGTTTCAATTTGTCTTACTGTTGGTTCTCTGAGGCATACATGTGTCTGTACAGTGTGGTCTATCTCAGAGCACTAGGTGATGAAGTATTGGTTCGATAAATTGCCTATGATCTAAGGTTGCTTCTCAATCATTTCTCACTTGTTTACAGGGCTTACTCAAAGGTATCAAGATTCTGTAAGGGCCATAACGCCCGGGCTTCCGCTTTTTCTTTACAACTACTCCACAAAATATCTACATGGCGTCTACGAAGTAAGTGGGTGAACGAAACAGAATTGATTCTGTAATCGGAAGAGTGCGTACATGATGAGGATAACAATAATCGTAGTAAATATGTAGAATATCTTACTCGTTTTTTTGGCTTGCACGGATGGCTCCTGATGGTGTACATCACATTGCCATTTTGAGCTTTTTTTTCACACTTCCTACCAGTGTTGGAAGCTACTTGTGTTGCTTCTGTCCATTAGGAATCATCCTTTTAGCCGTCTTCCTTATAAATATTCTATCTTCTACAGGCTACGAGTGATGGAGGCTTGAATATTGATCCTGAGGCTTGGGAGAATAAAGAGACTAAAAAGGGTGGAGGACCAGTGTCTCGTTACCCTGCTCAGGCAAGTGTTTCTGCCTGTACGTCAATGGGGTTATAATGCTCCTCAGTTGTTTGAAGTGTCTATTTTGGTGTCTTTCGTATATTCATTTTTTATGGTTAGTAGCAGAAATGATGTTGTCTTCTAGTGTTTAGTGTACATTTGGCATGTTGGCTTTTGTTGTGTTCTCATGATTTTTTCCGCATGCAATGATCATCCTTTATCGATCTGGATTTCATTTCAGCAGTGTGGTTGCCGTTTGTGTATTCATGTGCACTGGAGTTTTATACGATATGACCTGGAATGGTAACTTTTTTGCGTATTGGTTATACAGGTTAGAGTGCGTTTGCGAGAGGAAAGACCTCCCTTGGAAGAAGCTAAATTCCGTCCTTTACTTCATCATTACGATGGTCCCAAATTCAGATTAGAGCTCACAGTGTCTGAGGTATGCTCGATTTTGCTAAACACAGGATTATTATTTTAATTCTTGCATCTTGACTTTTCGAGTCCTGTCTGCTTTCAACCACCATTCAATTAGTCCTACCGCAGTCCGTTTTAGCCGAAGCTTATCTAGACCAATTTTGAAAACTAGGATTTGGACCTTCGAATTCAATACTACGGAAATATCGTGCACTTATGCTGATAGAAAGCAAGAGTAGGAGAGTTGAATCCCTGCATGTATAAGGTTCAAGAATTATTCTATCTGCTGCTTGTATCTCATTATCTCAATATCTGTGTGCAATTTGCAGGCCGAAGATTTGTTAAAGATTTTTGGCAGTTCTAGCTCCCAGAAAATGGATAAGGCACAGGATGACTTTGGAGGTGAGTGGGAGAGGGTGAAATTTAAGAACAAAGGCAGTGGTACTCGAGTTCATCGTCCTAATCCTACTAAGAGATCAAGCTCCCCAAACTCTTCCTCAGGAAGGAGAAGACTGGGTCCGCCTGTGAATGGTTCGAGCATCAGTAGCAATGTGTCGCATACTACTGCTCATTATTCTTCAAATAGTGACTTCGGACGTAGTAGGGAAACCAGGGCTGATGCGGCGCAACGATGGAGATCTGACTCAGATTCTTGGAGCGGATCGTCTAGTGCTGGAATATCAACATCCAGTTGGGCCTCGCATGATGAGGATAGGCCCAAGAAGGGCATGAAAGAGAATGTTGTAATGTGTGGAGAGGCGAATGATGTAGTTAGAGCAGGTGAGTATCTCGAACTACACAACGCAAGTACTCTGAAGAGCTATGAGCACACCAATGGATTGTGTGAAAATGGGAGTGAAAGGAATTATAGGGCAGATTCAGATGACCTAAATACAGACTCTAATGGAACAAGATGTGGTGTCGGAGGAGAGGCGCAATTAGAATCTCAGTCTCCCAATCGTCCCGGATTTGCTTCATATAGTGCAGCGCTGAAAGCTGGAATGGCAGGTGCTTCGGCGGAAGTAGGTAGTGGTGATAGTGTTGATTCAAATGGAGCTTGTGAAAGTGGGCAGACCGTTTCTGTTAGAGTTGCATCAAGTGTTAATGTTGCTGTCTCCTCGAGTGTAATCGCAGATTTTGTCGGAGACGGTAGTAAACTAGGGAGCGGTAAACATATTGAGGCGGTAGGGAGTAGAAGGCCGTCTGCCAATTCTGAAAACTTTGGCAGTGGTACGCAACCAGTTTTGGGATCTTACAATGGATGTGATCCAGTATGGCAAGAAAGGGAAGACGGTAAATTTTTACGTTCGGATGGAGAAACAAAGAAAGCAGAAAATAGATCGGTATGGAATGATAATAAATTATCTTTGGCTGTCACAATGGCAGCTCCAGATAGAGGGAATAGGGCATATAATATTGATAGCGGAAGTATTGGTGGAAGAATGATTGAAGGTAGTAATCTCCTGGGAAAGGGTCACTCGGTAGATGCCAGTACCAAGGGAAAGGAGTCTTTAGCAGACGGTACGCTGCTCGAGGACAATGAAAGAACTGGTAAAGGAAATTCAAGTAGTCAAGGCAAGCCTAGTTTTAAGGATAATGTAGGAAAAAAAAGTGTGACTTCAGAAAATGGGTGTAAGAAGACTCCTTGGCAAGGAAACGATGCAATCGTGCTTCGCCGTTTGATTGACCCTGGCTCAAGTTCAAATATTGGAACTCCGGTGCCTGTTGTGTCCTCTGGACAACATACACAAACTCATCCTGATATCTCAGCAAGACTACCTGACTCTGTTATCAAAACTAGCTCACTGCCGCAAGAAGCAAGTCAGATAGCCGGGCTTGTTAGTATGGTATTTAGTGATGTGGAGCAGGGTACGTTGCAATCAGAACAAAGTCCTGGTATGTCCTCCAGTATCTCAACGAAGGCTCAAGTACAGGGACCGATACCACTGCCGACCAGGGCTTCAAATGATTTTCGAAGAGTTCAACAGTACAACCTTTTGAAAGACAGAGATTTTCGCAGGACGCAATCACCCTCTCCTGACCAAGTTCCAACTATGATACCACAGCGTCAGCCTGGACAAAACCTGATTCCTGTGAGGATATCAACTCCACCGCTGCAGTCTTCTCAGCAGCAATATCATCCTACTCAATCACCGGATCTCAATGGAAATTTTTCCGATCGTCGTAACGGATCAGGTGCTGGATTCTCGTTTTACCATGTGCTTGCTTTAGTTGCTTCTGATTTCAGTTTAGGCGTTGGACGCTTGCTCGAATGTGTTATTACAGAGACGAGCTTTGTTTTTCATCGTGGCTACTACGATTCATTTTAATTTGTATGACTCATTTTTCAAATGTGATATGTGGTGCATGATCTGTAGATGTGTATCATGGCCCTACCTATCGACCAATCCCGAGTGGCTTACGAGACGGAGAACACGGACTTCAAAACGGATTTCAAGGTGGCTGGGGCGTGCCTACACCCGCGATATCAATGATTCCGCATGGTTATCGGCTTGGTCTAAATGGCATGTTTCCACTTCCATCGCAACAATTTCTGACCAATGTGGAAGAATTGCACTCGGAAATCTTGGAGTTTGCACACACAGCAAGCCCCTCTGCGGAGGCAAGGAGTTGTGCAGAAGCTGCTATCGACTGTGTAAGGGGTGCTGTAAAGAAACTCTGGCCAAACGCTGACGTCGAGGTATGTGCTTGCCGATTTGAGGGAAATTTTATGTTAGTCTATACATGACTAATTGGATAATCAGCTGACAAGGGCCTTCCACGCTTTGTTCAGGTTTTCGGGTCCTATGCTACTGGGCTATGCCTATCTCATAGCGATGTGGATGTGGTAGTCGTCGATGCCCCACCTCCGCTTAAATTACCTGATACAACAGGGCTTACTGGAACACGATTAGTTGCATCACTTCTGGCACCATCTATTCGTTTGTTAGGAGCAGCCTTACAAGATTATGATTGGTGTAAGAGTATCCGCACTATTGATTCTGCAACGATGCCTGTGATCAAGCTTCAATGTAGACCTTTAGTTACTTCTTTGGATCCTGCTGCTCCTGTCGTGAAAATTGATATCACTATTGGTGGAAAGAAGACCAATGAGGAAGCAGTTGCTACTGCATCACAGAGCAGTGAAGGGTCTGAAACCAGCAGGCATGTGGATTCTCAATTTGAACTTGCAAGGAAGTTTCACAATGGTGCTGCAGCAAGGGAGTATGTCATTAAGAGACTTCAACAACAACCTGCTCTAGCTCCCTTGGTATTCTAATCTTCCCTTTAATATAGCGCTAGTAACATGTGCATTTCTTTGTTAACTAAAAAGATTTATGTGCCACAAAGTTGGTGTTTTTGGTTCTGCATATAAATCTAGGTACCAAGTGAAGCTCAACAGGCTGGATCGAATTATTACGTTGATCTTCGGATTTGAACTGACGGTCTTGGAATACTATAAACAGGTTTTACTTTTGAAGTCATATCTGCAATCGAAAGGGCTCAAAGATGTTTACACAGGAGGTCTTGGATCGTTTTCTTTGACTATTATGCTTGTCTTCTATTTAGAGGTATGTCATCGGTATTCTTTAAAATGTGAAACCTGTGTTTTATTTGGCATCAGTATGTTTGTATGAAATGTATTCTTCATCTTTCACGAAGTCAAGTGTCCTTGTTTGAACCATTTATTGACTTTGTTTCTGGACAGCACTGCACCTTACATTTGTGATCCAACTGTGCTTACTTTGAGGTTTTTTTCCAGCAAGACAGGAAGTGTGTTACTGTGATATGTTTTGTGATTATAATGTTAAGAATGACAATAAGTGTATCTTAATTAACTCATTTATTAAATTTTCTTTGATGGTGGCAGCGCGTGCCCATTTCGTGTGTCACATCCCAGGAAGTGAGGGCACAGAGTCTTGCACCCTCGAATGCGCTTGTCAGCTCTACGTCATCTCCTGACATCACAAATTTGACCTCCGCGCCACCTGGTATTGATTTCTTGGGTTCTTGTGAGGAAGAGTCTTCTTGCTCAACTACCACAACTGATTCAGTCTCGGTATCAAATAGGGCGTCAGCATCCTGTTCCACTTCTGAAGGCTCATTAGTAAATGGTGGGTATATAAAATTTGCTGTCTCTTGTTTGACATCATCTGAAGGCTTCACCTCGGAGTTCCAGGATGCTGGTTGTTTGAATGAGTTGAGTTCTATGGGAATGTTCAAACATTATATGGTTCACAACAAATGATTGTTTTACATGTCGTACCGTCCTAACGTCATGAATGGACGGTGAACAGGAGCAACAGCCGCGGGTCATATTCAATTAACTGGGGATGTCTCCAAGTCTGGGCGTTGTAATCAATGGACAGGAGGGATTATAGAGCAGTTGCTGGCTTCAATGCATTATGTTGCATCTCCAAATCTTGGAACCCTGTTGATTGGCTTCCTACAGATATTTGGTTGGGCAATAGATTTCACTCAAGTGCGTCTTGTGACAAAGGTACTACTTCTTGGTTTCTTGCTACTTGTTAAAGTTACCAGCTTGTGATGGGTATTGAGAGTGACATGATTTTATTTCTTATTCTTACCCTTCCAGACTTGAATTTTACATCTGTTAAATCTTTTCCTTTTATTTTCATTTTTGTGACTGTAGGAGCAGAAACTGCGAAAAGGTAACTGAATATGTATCACCTATTAGGAGAGTTATTTTCCATTTTGATTATCTGCAGTAGGTAGATTTTAGACTCTACAGCTTTTAAAATTAATTGAGCAGCTTTTGAAATTATGAAAGCTTACAGAACTGCGACAAGGTCAACAAGCTCTATCACTTTTCCTTTCTTTTCTTTTCTTTTTCTTTTTTTCTGCATTTTTTAAGATATCGTGGTTATATTCTTGTTACAGGGTAACGGTGGTAGTGGAGGGTTGTTTTACCATGACAAGACATCAAGTCCAGCTCCTTTGACGATTGATGATCCACTTCGTCCTGGTGCTAATATTGGGGCCGGCTCATTTAACATGCATCAGGTTCAGGTATATTTTACTTCGTGTCGTAAAGCCACTTTATTCGCTTTTTAAAGGTCATAGAGGCGTAGATTTTAGGTAGACCAGCACATCCTGCAACTTTTTCTATGTTTCATGTGTATTTTATGATTGATATTTCGTTTGGTTTGCGATGAACGTTTGTAGCTTTTAAAGGGTGAGTCCCCTTGCCATGTGTTTAGTATCATTAGAAGCCACTTGGAGATCACAGGTGCACTGTGCTGGTTTTGCAAGATATCCAATTTTGAATATATTTAAAGACAACTATTACTCTAAGATTTTGTTTTTTGGAGAACTCGGACTAGGACACAATTTTGTGCTCAACGGCACAAGTCACTCTAGTGAGTAATAATGATAGGGGAGGACCTAAAGTTGTTAGTTTGGATCTGCATGCATAGATTAGCACCTGGTTTTTGTTGACGTGTCACCTAGGATACTACTTCTTTACATGCGTGTAACATTGCCAGATAAGGGATTTATTGGAGTGAGTTTTGTGTTTTGTAGGGAGCTATGCAGGAAATGTTTCATATTTTGATAAGGCCTCTACCTGCGGCAAGTTCGAATAGAGTTGGAACATTATCAGGCAGAAGGCGGTCTTTACCCCTCCTTGATCAACTATTCACGAGTGGAACTACTTCCTTGCCACCACTGTAGTCTATCTGCATCATTCGACTGTTCATCATCCAAATTGTATCTCAGAAAAAATCGTACCACCCAAGATTTTTGGCAATTCGATGGAGTCTAAATGGTCTTATTGAACAATCACAGTTCAGGGCTGACGGCGAAGGCAGTGGCTTGGTTGATGTCCATGAGTGTTGTCTGTGATACAGTCACGTTGCGAACTATGCAGCTCTCCCGCTTGCCTTCGACTAACACAAGCAAAGACTTTGTTTGTCTGCAGTTGAGTGAGAGCCTGCACGAAAATTTAAAAAACACGGCAAGTGGGAGCAGAGAAATTGCTGCTACATCCCAACCGCCGGTGAGCATATAGATACCTCGAGTGAGAATTTTTAGCATTTCTTATGCCTCCCTTAACACGAGGAAGAAAATTTTGTTTCTTTTTTAAAAAGTAAAATTTCAGCAGCGTGTAGATTGTAGGAATTAAAGATATTTTATTCGAGTAGGTCATGTCTGGCAATAAACTGTTCTTATCATTTTGGCTTTCTTGTGTCAGTACTTCGTTGAGTGCACATGACACACATCCTCAGTTTAAATTGTGAATTCCAGGGATAGTGCCAAAATCTTCGAACACAATTCTGATACACTGATCTCGAACTTTGTTTGTTAGCTATATTATCCTTGTGGTATGATACATTTGTCCCAGGTGTTTGGTCCATTATTTCTTTTTTGTAATTATTCTGCCACTTGCTGTTGCTGCGAGGCTGTGAAATTGTCTCATGTGATGTCAGTGTGAACTGTTTTTTTCCACCTAATGCACGTTTTAATTGATGGCTGTATCTCGATTTGGACAAACCCAATCACATTTGTTTTAGTTTTTTTAGAGAATGAGAAGTTTCAAGTGCAGTCTGTATTCTTTTTTCTTCGAGGCATTTATTTTGGTGGAATGCGGCATTTAATGAAGGTGAAATAGTGTCACCGATTGAAGAATTCAACGTGGAAATCTTTTATCAATTTTGTTTTGAAGTCATAATGAAGGTGATTTAAAAATTCTATTGAAAAATATTATTGCGAGGGGGTTGGTGGACGGAGAGGCAAGGTTCATGATTACCAGTTTCAGTGGCAAGTTTCGCAGGAAGCGATGATATTTAAATCTATTGTGTATTTTTACAAACAAGAAAATTGATGAATATCTTTGATATTTTGATTGAATGCAAGATAATGGTGGGGATTTTTCGAGCTATTGATAGCATGCACCATTTCAATTTGATGACTTATAAGTTTTGCTCAAAAATCTCTTTTGCAATACTACTTCTGCAATAGCCTTATAAAATATTCATCATTTTGCAATAAATTCCAAAAAAAACACTTGATTTAATATTATTATCTCAAATGTATTATAAATAAAATATTGATTAAAGAATCATTGGTAATTCTTAATATAATATTATTTGTTTTAAGATTTACCACAATATGCTTAAAAGCTGGATAAATAATATTTCAAAGACTCTAATAAAAACCAAAGAACTTTCAAAAAATTATATTCAAAAAAAAGTTTATGTATAAGAAATTTATGTATTGAAATGAATTCCAAATTTTATACTAAATTATAAGACATGCATTATTTATGATGAATACTTTTTGTGTTAAATATCATCAAGCCATTTTAATTGAGAACAACTTTTTAAATATAGAATATATGTATGAAATCATCAAAAGTTGTGTTCTATATTACAAAAATAAGAGAATATATTTTTAATCTTATAGTTACAAAATAATAATTATGAGACAATAAAAAGTAGTTATTAAGCTTTAAATGAAAAGTTGGCTCTTTTTTGTAACTCTATTTGTATTTTTATTTGATGGATTTTAATCTTATTACTATTTAGGTCTAAACTTGGCTTCTTTATATTTTAATATTAGAACCTTATATTTGACTTGAAAGCAATATGGAATTTGAAAGGTACTCATTATTTCTATTCTTGTAAGATCCTAATATAGATTACATTTAAAAAAGTATCTCAAAAGTGTTTTTAGTAGTGGATCTACAAATTATGGTCTGACTTAGAAGATATTGGATCAAGGTCCAAGTAATGATAAGTCTCTAGAGCTCAAATTTTGTATAGAGTTGGATTCCAACTTAGGTTAGGAGTTAAAAATACATATGAAAAGATTGGAAAAGGAGGTCGTGCAATATCTAAGCAATTTGATTGTATTTTTTTTTTCCATCTATAGGTGCAATTCTTTTTAAAATTATTAAGCTTTTTATTGATTAAAAGATTAAAAGGTGTACAAAATTAGACATAAAATCAAGAATTAATTTTTAAAAGTTATAAAATTATAATATGTTTTTATATCTACTTAGGCTTAATTGAGATTGTTAGGATTTAATTAGGATTTGATTTGGATCTCTTTATGATTTTTTAGGAATAATTAAGATTTGGTCTAGATTTCTTAAGAATTAATTAATTTTGATTTGAATTTTTTAAGGATTGAATTTTTTAAGGATTGATTAGGATTTGGTTATAATTTGTTAAGATTCATTTAGAATTTATTTAAGATTTTGCTAAGGTTTGATTGGCTTATTTTAAGGTCTAATAAGAATTGTATAAAATTTCTTACAGTTTACTTAAGAGTTGTTTGGACTTCAATTAGGATTTGATAAAATATATCTATAGTTTCTCTAGGATTGATAGGATATACTTAAGGTATCTTAGGACTTACTTAGAACCTTATTTAGATTGTTTATGATTGCATGAGTAGTAATTTAAAGTTGATAGTAGTGAAAATTGATTAAATCAAAGATTCTAAGAGAATCAAGGTTTCAAAGACCAATGTTTTTAAATACCTCATGTATTTTTTAGGATTGTAAGAAGAAACTTAAACTTAATTGAAAATTTCAATAGTCAGATGCCTAGTACATTCTTAAGCTAAATTTTACACAACAAAACAATAATTGGTGGAATCTTCTGCTGTTACAAGAGCCTCATCCATATTATTTTACATGCTAGCAATTCTTTTGGCTACACTTATTTTTGATAATGCAATTTTTTTGAATAATTCACAAATTTATTACAGAATATTGTCAAGTATCTTATCACAATCCATTTGGATACAAACGGCTACATACATATTGATATCCAAAAATATTCTACTTGAGGTACTTTGGACAAGGTAGAAGGACCTTAGTTAACTAGTACTTTTATCACATCTACACAAAAAAGACCATACCTTGCCAATATTGAATGCATGGCTCCAATATTAGGTCAAATTTGGAGACAACTAGTATAATTCCTTTCTATAGACTATGTAGAAGAGTGTAAGATGGGTTCTTTCTCACTTGATGATCCAAATGCTTGAGAAAAAATTTATGACAGTCATATATTTTCCATTTAGTCCAATTTGTGGTGATACTTTATTTTCCATGATTTTATTATCTTTTTAAGATACAATTTTGAGGGAGCTTGAATTTCAAGTCTTTGATATTATTTCTTTATTTATGGAAATAAACTCTTCTAAGATCGACCAAGATAAATATTATTCAAATTAAGACATATGAATAGAGTAAAAGATTAATAAGAACATTAAAAACTATACAAATAAAGAAACCAAGTTTAAGTAAGAAGAAGAATGGACTTTCTCTCTAATATCATTAAAGTCAATAGAACTTATTATACTCTTGTCAACAAGTAATTCCTTATTCTAATTCTAATTTTTATTCAAATTTTGATTAATTTCATGATAATAATTTAGGAAGTTATAGCAAAGATTTTTCTTTTTTTATGATTACTTAGAATAAGAAGGAACAAAGGAAAAAAAAAAATATAAATAAAAAAAATCTCATCTTAATATTGAGAATATATTAAATTTCCTTCATGTCAATTATTGATTAATTTGTATCAATATGTCTCTTATTCTTTGATCAACTCATAAATTAAAAATTCATCTTTTAAAATATATCCAAATTACATAATCTACCAAAAATTTGCTAATTTAGAAGTTATACTCAAAATATTTCCATAAGATGTAGTATTGGTTTTTTTACAAAATATAAAATTTATAGCTTAAGAGTTTAGTAATTAAATAATAAACTTTGATTTAATGATATTTTTTGTTTTATAATTTTCATTTAAATATGTATAAAATCTAAACAATATTAATATTGGTAAAATATATATTCTTCTATTTCTTTTAATTAAACACTTGATTCATAACATTAGCTTTCTTATAGACAATTAATTTCTTTAGATCACTCTTAATAATATCTCTAGTAACTCTATATGTATTGACAATCTCTTTGCTTCTAATAAATATCAAGAATGTAACTAAATATAGCTTGACATAATAGAATTATTACTCTCTTATATTTCTTATATTTTTAAAAGAGATTAAAATATGGTCAAATATGCACAAGAAAAATCTTCTTTTTGTGAGAAGATTCTTCTAAATGACAAGAAAAATAAATGGAATTTTTTCAAATTTTTATTTTCTTATTGAATCTTTTAAATATAACAACCTCCTTAATTATTCTAAAGACAAAAAAAGAGATATAATATGTGAATTTGCTAGGTTAGATAGATTCTATGTTAATTCTACTTCATTATAAATTAATTAAATTTATAGTTATTATATAAGAGGTGATTGTACTTCATGCAATTATCTTTTCATTGATTTTTTTCAATCTCAAAATCCGAATTTAGATCTTTATATTTTAATATATATATATATATATATATATATATATATATTTAAATGATCATTGAATTCTTTAATTTATTAATGAGACTAAAATTATCAAGGACATGAATCTCAAAGAATTAAAATGTCAATATATTCTTGTGCCACTTGAAAAGACAATAAATTCAATCAAAGATGATTTAGTATTCAACTAAAATGATTATTGCCAAAGACAAGAAGACTTTAAAAGTCTTGAAACAAGACTAAAGACTAAAAAGACGTTGACAAGAGTGAAGAAGGCTTCTTTCTTGCCTCTATATATACTTTTAATTAAGAGCTACCTGGCGATGTCTTATAGGACCTTGAAACGTGTTGACTTTATAAGACACATATCTTAACTTGCAAGACAAGTTTTCTATATATGTGCTATATAGTTAGCTTATTCTTTAAGCTATCAATACATGGTTAACTTGTTGACCAAATTTCTAACCTACTAATCAATTTTAAATACATATAAAGTCAAAGCAGTATCTATGAAGCTTCTAGGAAGCTTTTCTAAAAAATATTATGAAATAAATCTACTTTTATTTATTTCTACTTAATCATATAGGTAAATATTAGAGTAAATATGTATATTGGTGACAAAGATACAATATAATAGAAGAAGTTTTTTCTTCAATTTTATAAAATATTTTATGTCTTTTGATAATTTATATTTATATTTATTTTTATTTATATAAATAAGTTATTTTTATATAAAAGAAAATATATCAAAATCTAAAATCAATTATTATTATTATTATTATTATTATTATTCACAAAAATCCTTTAGATACTTATATAATAACTTATCTTAAAGAACTTCAAATCTTTATCAACCAATTTGAGGATTGGCAAGAGGAAAAGAAGCTAATCAAATCATAAATCAAATGGAGAAAAATAGGCAATAATAATAAAAAAATTAAGAATTTTGGTAAGAATTTTAATCCAAATTTACTA